TGCAGGTTTATTGAACAGTTTCAAAAACCTTTGATGTAGATCTATTAATTCTTGCACTGATATTTCTGTCTGGGGTTATTTTGGTAGAGAAAATTGGATGTAAAGTTTAGCCGTGTCTTCTTCAGATATAAACATAATTATTAAAAACTGGATCATTGGATAATGCAATTCAAGACTTTTTATTGGCTTAGCCATTATGGTATATGAGCCAATATACCATAATCAACAAAAATTGTAAGTGTATGCGTCAGCTTAAAATCAAAAGGGAGCTAAAAAATCCGGTTTCTTCTCACAAAATAATAATTTCTTGAGGGCATTTTTAATCAAACAATTATTCCACTCGCGCTTGTTGGATATGAGATGATTATAGCCAACTCGGCACTACGCGCCTCGTTGGCTATCTATCATCTCATATCCAATGCACAAACGCAGTACAAGTGCCCAGGATTATTTACCGCCTTCTGCTGCAAATGAAAATGGTTGGTTTAATTTGTCATTTTTCTTTACATTTGTTAAGAAAAGTTGAAATTCTTTTATTCTTATTTATATCAGCTTCAAGCTAACCTCACTTTCAGTAAACTATTCTTTTGAATTCTGAACCTCAGAATGCTATAGTCTCATTTTCCCTTTTCTGTACTATCTGTCATGGATGCATAAATTGCTTCTCTTTTTAATTTTAGAAATGATTGTCTACAAGATAAGTGGTGTGCTCTTTGCTTGTGGATATCTTAGAGAGAATCAAAAGGTTCTGCATGGCCATGATCTACCCACTGATCATGTATGTGTACTGGTTACAGCCACCAAGGAAGATGAACAGGTAGATGCATCACTAGTTTTGGGTGACCCTGATGAAAACTCATTTTTGGAAAAGGGCAGGATTTTTACCCTACCAAAAAAATTCCTCCACAGGCCAAGTTTTGGACCAAATAACACAATTGATTTAGTTCCAAATATTACCTCTTAAGTATGAGATGGCTTTGTACTCTGTTGCTACTTTTTATTTTTTTATTCCCTTCTTTTGTCAGTTGTCTCAGGCATTGTCCAAGGGTTTTTTTTTTTCAGGCCTTATGGGTCATAACGTTAAAGAATAATTAAAATTGTTACCTTTCATTCTTCAATGAGTTTCGTTTGTGGAAGATTAACCCCTACGAGTCCAGTGTGCGAAGAAAGTCGAGTCCAATGGCCCGGGGCTAGTGGATTTTGCTATCAGACTAGTGATTTTTGCTCTTAACTTGCCCACGGGCAAGTGCTGCTTTTTGGAAAAATCCAAATGACAGAAGGATTGTAATAAATCCTGCTAATCAAAAAGGGTTTAGGGGCTGCTTGAAATGACTTGTGGGCTAGTACATACTAGCATAGTTCATCAAGGGAAATGGTTATGAAGGCTGGCGAACTTCAAAGGGACGGCCAACCCTGCACACACTTCCAAACAAATATGGCGGACAACTGTGACTTTTTAACGGGGGATGATTTAGAGGCAATTTTAGAGATGTTAGAAGCGGATGAAGGAGTTGAAGAGGAGTTTTTCAATGAAGTCAACAATGTAAGTATTGAAAATGGCTTGATTAGGCCTGTTTTTCGACGATGAAATGCTTAATATGACAAACTCTGATCAAGATGATTCATGTCGAAGGAAGAAGCATGGATAGAGAACATTCTGCAATGCTGTGCAGTTTATATGAAGTACAAACATTCTTAGAATGTGTGTGTGAAAGTATATCCTATGAATTTCGTTTTATTTAGGTTCAAAAGCAAGAGAGGCAAGAGATTGTATC